TACCACTCCCTGTGCCACAGTCTGGAACTTCTCTCCAGGCAATAAGCTGGGACACACCTCATGTCCCATTATCATGGATGATTTTCCAATGTCTGACATCTTGCAAATGGTTGTTCTTATAAATTGTTTCTGGTAGAAGGGCAAATCCTGTCCTCACTACATTAGGTAGGTCATAAGCAGAAGTTTAGCTTTATCCTTTAGATACAAAACTTTGATTCTATCTATTATTTAAAACCCTCTAATGTGCCCCAATGGCCTTAGCATAAAAACTGAAATTCCATGACATGTTCTAAAGGAACCTCCATGATCTTCCTCTGCTTACCTTTCAGCTGTGCCACAGGCACTCATCCTCTTTCTTTGTCCTTCCACACACTTCCACTTCACCTCACCCCCTGCTTCATGCTAAGCTCTACCTAGCTTTAAGATCTAAAATTAAATTTTGTCTCCTCAGAGAAAATGTCACTAACACCCTAGTCTTCTCCTTCCATGCCTTTTGTTTTAGTCACATCAAAACAAATAAAGTTACCCAAAATAGAAACTCCGGTATTTCTCATTGCCATGTCTTTGTCCTTGCTAGAATTCTATTTGTGCTTTGTCTGCTCAGATAGTTCCTATTTGTACTTTAAGAATCAAGGCAGGATCACCACCTCTTGAAAACTTTCCATTCTCTCATTTTCCTCCCCAGTCTGAATTACATATCTCCCCCCATGCTTTCTTAATACCCTCTGGATACCTCCACTACAGTGCTTTTCAAACTCTATGGAAAGAATTTGTTTCCTTGCCCTTCTAACTGGGTGTAAAAATAGGGTCTATAGGTTCTTCTCTGTACTCCCAGAGCCTAGCAGAGTGCCTTGCATGTATCTACCTCTCTTTCATCTTTTTGTTTGTTTGTTGGTTGGTTTTTTGTTTTTGTTTTTGTTTTTTGTTTTTTGGGTTTTTTTTTGCTAATGAATAAATGGCTGTACAAGGCTCTTGCCCCTGCTAAACACTGATATGAGGTTGTGTGGACACTGGCACTTTACAGGGAGAGCTCTGCCCTTGGAAAAAAGAATCACATTAATCAAGCAGAACAAATCATATTGGATGCTATGGCCAATGCAATTAAGCCTTTGTCAAACTGCCTGACTTTGGCTCAAGATGAGAACATTGATGAAACGCCTCTCAACTGCCTGGGTTGGGGTCTGCTGAAATGGGCAATTACTGCAGTGAACAATCCATTACTTGTACTGTCAACAGTGTGCTTTTTCTCTCTAAATGCAGAATGAAGTGGAAAATGCTATGGAAACTCAGTGGCATTTAATTTACTGATATGATGTGGTAGGAGCCATTCTTTAACCTGACTGTAACAGCAATAGTGTGGGGATAAGTATGAGGTTGGAATGCATTGAGGAAACCGTTCTAAACATCCTGTGCCTCACTTTTCCCGTATGTAAAATTAGTCTGATGGAAGAGAATGCTTGTCACACCATGGTGGTTACTATGGTGATCAATGACTGAGATGCAACATTGTACTGCCCCTAGCCATGCCAATTTCTTTCAATTCTGCTTGTTATTCCATAGAGGGAGAAATGACTGGCAGGTCTCATTTTGTTCTTTAAATTGGGAAAGTTGCTAGCAAGGCATGGCTTAGAAAGGACATCATACTGGGGCACCTAGGCAACTCAGTTGGTTGGGTGTGTGACTCTTAATTTTGGCTCAGGTCATGATCTCGCAGTTGTTCGAGCCTGGTGTAGGGCTCTGCGCTGACAGCATGGAGCTTGCTTGGGATTTTCTCTCCCTTGCTCTCTGCCCCTCCCCCTCCACACTCTCTTTCTCCCCTTCTCTCTCTAAAATAAATAAATAAACTTAAAAAAGAAAGACCATCATACTGGCATTTTGTGCAGATAACCCTGGGCTGCCGTGCCAGGATATTCATTCTCAGTGAGGAACAGGGCTCCCCAACCTCTCTATATTGTGGTGCACATAGAAACATGTGTAGTGCACACTGGGGTTAGTGGATGAGATGTTTATAGCCAGAAGGGACATGGCCTGGGACTTTAGCTGCCCCAGGTCCTGCCCAGGTGCTCCAAGGCTCAAGGAGGTCAGAATCTTGGTATACTTCTGACCTGTCTGGCACATCAGTTAGGAAGTTCTGCTGTGGGCTCAGTCAACCACTTTGCCACTACAGTGGCTGTGTCTCTAGCTAGAGGCTACCAATAAACACCATCAGATGAACTGAAACCATTCTATGAGTATAGTTGCTTGGGAGGTAATTGTTGGGGGCAAGAGGGCTGGCACCAGATAATATTGCTGCAGAGCTCCTTTAGTATAAAGACAACTAGTTATTCACATGGGGCAGAGTTGTAAAAACAGAACTTATCTTGGTTAATTTAAGCAAACTCTTAAGCACTTACAGAGTCTCTGGGATGGCAGAGTCAGTCTTGGAGGCTCAATAGCCAAGGCAGTGCCAACCCCACCCACGAGGCTCCCTTGGTACAGATCTCATTGCTGCTGGAAATAAACACTATCCAGAATGAGGCTGGACACTGGACACCAGATTTCCACCTTATACTTACTGATGACTGGGCCCTGGGCACCATAAATCTACCCTGCACCCACCAATGACTGGCACTGGACACTAGAAGTCTACTCAGCACCCACTGATGACAGGGCACTAGACACCAGATGTCCACCCTTCTGCCCCTGAAAAGCTGGATGTTTTCACCACTATCTTTTCTCTTAAAAAGGATCCACACAGCCCCTCATGTTTGTGGCTTCTGAATGTAAGTCACATGCAAGCATGACTACCCTAGCATTTAGGTCATATGTCTGCCCCTTATCTACAAGGTGAGCTGGACTGGCAGGGCCAGCCTTCTACCATGGTGAGGTGGGATTCATACACGAGATAAAAGCCCCATGTAATGATGCTGATCCAAATCAGCCTGTGGGTCACAGTGTGCCAGCATCCACTGCATTTTGTAAAACTACATGTCATTGTCTTCCACCATAAACCAGTCCCTTCTGGTTTCTTCTAGACCAGGGCATGCCATCGTCATTCTCCCAGTCACTAGTCCAGAAACTTGGTAGCTGGACTTGGTTCCTTCTTCTGTCTGAGCATCAGCCCATTTCCAAGTCATAACCATACTGACTCCTAAATGTCTTGTCATTTGCCTCAATTCTGCATCTCCCTGTGACCTCTCACTTGAGGACAGCAACACCTTTCTAGTGGCTCCCAGCCTCAGGCTGCCCCATACCAGCTCTTCCTCCCTACCATGCCTGGTAATATTTGGTCAAGTTCCATCCCTCTCATGTAAAAGCTCTTGGGGGGTCCCCACTGCCTTCATGAGAAAATTCAATCCCCTGGATCCTTTGGTAATAATTTATATTTACTTTTTGGACCCTCATACATTGAATACTCTATTAATATTCTTATTCTCTAACAGAAGAATAAAAGTAGCTACAGGTACTGAATACACACTAGATATGCCATGCTAGACAATCCTCATTGTCCCTGGAGGTAGGTGCCATTTTACAGAGGAAGAAACTGAGGCAAGCAATCATAATGGCAGCCCAGCATTCAAACACAGATCTCAATCTCAAGCCTTCAATCAGACATGTGTTTACTCTGTCTTCACTGAACTGCTTGCAGCTGGTTGCACAAGATGTGCTCTCTGTCACTTCTGTTCACTTGACTATTCCTTTCTTCCTGCTTCAAATGGCACCCTTCTTTGTTTCCCTACCCAAGTGTTACTTTGCTGCCTCCTCTGAGGATCTTTTCCCAGTCTCCCACCTTGTCATCACCAAGTGTGCATGCTGAACCCTCCATCAGCACCCAAATCCTTCCTAGCACCACTATTCCCTGATGGTCCATGAGAGCTGAGAGCAGGGACAGCGTCCTGTTCTGTCAGTGGGCATGCTCAATGAATCAGACTGTCCTCTGAAACACTCAGTAGTGCATATCTCATTCTAGGATTGTAGCATGGTCTTGATAGCTCTTGCTGCCACACACAAGCCCAGACTGGCACCAGTACGGGAATGTGCAGGCCAACTTCCCCAAAGAGTAAGCAGGTTGGTGGGTGGACAGCCACCCTCTTGTTCCATTAGCCATGACTCGGAAGAAAATATGGCCCCTGCTGTGCTAAGTATTATCCCCACTTTACCACTTGAGAAGATGCCTCCTAGAGCACTTTTAATGGGCCATCTCCTGGCTGGCTAGATTCTAAAAAATCATGTATTTTATTGCTCCAAAGAATTTACATATTTCGTCCTTTAAGCCTTACTTTGAGAGGAAGATAGATGGTTTCTGAGAGAGTAAGCCTGGGGTGGAGCAGGAATTCTGTGTCATTTAAATGAAAAGTCAGAGTTACACTCTCTCATCCTGGGTTCTTTCACTGCACAGTGAAGGGAAGGTGACTGGGGTGGGCTCCCAGTTCCTAATGGCTCAGTGCTAAGCTTCCAAGCAAGAGTGTTTACCTTCTTTCTGCCTATAAGATCCACCTCATAACTTTTTCTTCATCTCACACCATACTAAGATTTTCCTTAAATGATGTCAGCCTGGCTATTGATAAAGTTGGCATGAAGGTGAAGGGTCAGTAACCATCACTGCTTCTAGCTTCAAAGCATTTCAGAAAAAGGGCACTCTGGCTCTGCATGGTAAGAAGCTGCCTAGCTGGAAAGCCCCCCATCAGGTGTCCTGCACGTGGAAGGCCCGTGCAGCTGGCCCAGCCACCTCATAGGGGCCGTCCAAAGGTGCCAGTGCTCATCTTATTAGTTCATGCACTCCTCTTGCTACAATGAAATGTATAAATATTTGTGAACTCTCTAACCCATTTTTTTTTGCCAGGACAGGGTAATATAAGTCAATACTACATTTCCTAAAGATTAGCAGAAGCTTAGGATTATGATAAGCAAATACGACTTGTCCCATGTTGGACTGCTTGAAACCTAGGTCATAATGTTTTTTACAAGAACCACTTGTCAAATTTTCCCGCAGAGTGAGGTCTCAGGAGCCTGGCACGTACCTGTGGGGACAGTGCCCCGGGCTTGGCTGGTGGCCGGCTGGGCTGTGTGCCGCAGACAACTGCCCACTGGGGGGGCGGCCGCCTGGTGCTGGGCCTGGGGTGTGGTGAGGGGAAGGGCTGGCCTCGTGGCAGTGGCTGGGCTGCTCAGGCTTCCACCACCTGGGTGGATGGTTGTGGCCATCCCTTTGGCCAGTGGAGACCCTCCAACAACATTATTCCGCGGTGTCCCAGCCCCTCCTACCGGAGCCCTGAGGAAATAAAGCAGAATCCAGTCAGGTGAAGTCACAGATGAAACCACACAATATAGGCCATCAATAAAGGCCCACTCATACCTCCTGGCTGTGAGAGGTGAAGCCACATAGCCCAGGGCACAAACACTAAAACAATGCTGAGATAATCCCCTAAGCGATGCCCAGAGCTCAAACTTGGCAGTGGGGGACCCTTTGTAAAACCTTCATGGGGGTTCACTTTCAATATAAATAGTTAAGAAACAGCAAAAGAACCCTAAGAGCCAGTGATGATCCCAATCAATCAAATATTTTGTACCAGAACTACTGCCTTGATTCATTTTAGTAAACAGCTGTGTCTGTCGCCAGATACATCCAGAAAGAGTGACTGAGCTGGCCACAGCCAAGGCTTGGACACATCTGGAATGTGGTGGGATGGCAAGGACCCATCTCCCTCTGGACATGGCCACTTTCTTGTTTCTGCTGGCTTCTGGGAAAGAGCACAGACAAACCACATCCTTCTGAGAGATGTCAGGGAACTTGCAGTTTCATACCAGAAATAGATGCCCTTTCACCTCAGTTTCCAGATGAAATGAGTTTCCAGTGTTTAAGAAATACAAGAGAAACACAGCCACTCTGAAAATGGGCTTTAGCCCTTTGACCTCTGAGTACTTGCACCAAACTCACGCACTGGCAGTGAGCGTGAAAGATATGGCAGAATCTGGGAACTCGGAAGCTGCTCTGGGTTCAGTTTCAGGGATCAAATGTCTTCCATTTGTTTAAGATCTGAGTAAACTCCCCTTATGTCCTCTCAGAGTCTCATTCGTGAGGGTCAGAACAGGCACTGCCAGGCCCGTCACCAGGTGGGGGTGCTTCACTCCTTGAGGCTCAGTACCACTGGGCCATGACTTCGGTCAGGGATGGGCTGAGCCACCACTAAGTCAGGGCTTCCGTGAGAAGAAAGGCCTCCTGGAAAAGGACTCAGCTGTCCAGGGACCGACAGCACCTTTCTTTCTTAGCCCCTATAGCTGCCATGAAATTAGCCTCTAGCAAGGAACTCCGTCAGTGAGCCAGTCAAAGCCATGATTTTTTTTTTTTAAATTCACATCAGCTACCTGTTGAACTCACTTTTACCCTAGGGAAAAAACTGTAAAAATTGAATAAAGTGGGTTCACAAATTATGGGTCTTTCCAAGAAGGGCCATCAGATGATGTGACAAGCAAGCCTATGTCATGGCCAGCACTGCTCCTCTGGGTGCCCTGGAAAGTATGAATCAGTCTAGTGATCAGTGCAAGGTCTAGGCATTATTTGATTATTTTAATGGCAGTCTTTTCCCCGAGAGAGAAGGAATCCAGGGCTGTGCCCAGGAACGGTTTCCACAACTGAGACTGACAAATGAAATCAACAGTGGACCCCTTATCTTAATGGAAAAATCTCAGACAACTCCAGGTAACCTCTTGAGCAAAATTTTTAATTCCATTATCTGTTTTATAAAAATGATATAACAGGAAATCTGTAAATGACAGGAAAGCACAAGAAGAAAAGTTTGAATTACTCTTAATACCATCACTCAATAACAACTGTTAGCTTTTGAGAATATGTTTTTCCCTTGTGTATATACATAGGTGTGTGAGTTTTATGTATACCAGGTTTATGTGTGTGACACACACACACACACACACACACACACACACACACCAGTTGTACAGACACTGTATTCACAGGCACAGGTACATGTGTGCACACACACACAAGATCTCACTCTCCTGGGGACCTTCCAATTTCACTTTGTGCTGCTGCCCTGAGTCCAGCTCATTCTGCTGGCATCTTCTCCCCTCACAGCCAGTGCCTGCTGAAGGAATGACAAGCAAAACCTAATTCGTAAGGTGAAAAGCTGGCCATGTAGAACCCTTGCTCAAGGGGAGTTCTGAGCTCACGGGGCAAAACCTTGTGGGCAGGGGCACCCTTGCTGACTTCTGGACTGTGTTTTTGGCTTGCCCAGACCACAGCATGATTTTCAGGCAGTAACCAGCTGCAGGGGAATGTGGGTAGTGTGTTCCCCCCTCTCCCAGGCAGGGACACCTGCCTCACCTGGAGACGGGCGTCACGTAGTTTCCTGGGAACACCCCAGACAGTCCAGTCCTCAAGGATGTCCCCTTGAACCAGCCATCCTGACACTTCTCTAGGACGCGGTACATCTCGCCCTTTCGCAGCTCCAGCTCGTCGTTCTTCTGGGGCTTGTAAGCATAGAGCGCCAAGTACCTATGGGCAGAAGAGTAGGGCCAAGGATAAATGATGGCTGGGAGGGGTGGTTATAGGCCATCTTGTATCACCTGGGTCACATGTGGGCTCATCTTTGGATGAACCCAAACTAAAAAAGGACTAGCTGATGCCTGTGGGGGCTTGTGCACACCATGCCCAACCTACTCTTTGTGATAAACCATGGTGCAGGGAAGGCGGTGTACTCAGCACTGCTATTGCACACCTAGAGAACCAGGTCCTGAGAGGTACATGCAGGAAGGAGACAGACTTTGCCTCTTGTGCCTAAAACCCAGGTCACCCCACAGCCCTGCAGTGGCTGACCTGGGCAGGCAGGTATGTGATACCACCTTCCAGTCCTACAGCTCAGTGAGCCTCCATGACTCATCCAAGGCTGAGGGATACACCAGAGGATGTGCCAGAACAAGACCACAGGTCTTTGGGCCCCAATTTTTTCTTCTATTCTGCATACTATTTCTAAAGCCTAATGTTCTGAGCAAGAGAAAACTAAGAATGAAGCAGTTAAGTCTTGGGCTGGGTTCCCTCATTTCATCTAACTGGGTCCTGGCTTAACCTGCCTGGTCCATTCAATCAGTCTGAGCTGGAAGACACCTCAAAGGTCCTTTTAGATAAAAAGAAGTCTAGTCAGGGAATTATTGGTTGCATTCTTCCTTGTAATATTTGTGCCATGGCTAATTATTTAAATTCTACTTTTCTTTTAAGTCTATCTGAATACAAATGAAGAACAAAGTGGTGTAAATCCTGGCCTAGGGTTTAGAAGTTGTGCCCGTAACAGCCTATGATCCTAGTGACCCATATCACTAGGTATTTGACAACCTCAATATACAACCCCACAGGGCACTTGCAAGGACTGGATACTTGTAAAATGCTTTGCTACTGTGGGCGTTTGGGTAAGTTGGTTTTAAATTGATAGAGAGAACCATATCAGGCAACTATGTTGTTCACAAGAGGCAGGAGGAAGGCTGATGAGGCTTCAGCTCAATGAGAAACAAAAGATTATTTTTAAAGAAATGTCATCTCTTGGATCTCCTACCAGGATGGATGGCTGGGTGGGTATGTTGACCCTTCCCAGGACTGTAGGCTCTAGGGGCTGGAGGACATTCACAGGTCTCTGGGGACCTGAGGAGGGTCACAGGCCCCCAGAACACTCTTCTGACCCTGGGAAGGGCCTTCTCAGTATGTGAATATAGAAATGAGACATGACTCACTAGGGTTCAAGCAAGAAGAAAGGAGGACCTGAGTCTCAGAGGGCCAGTGAGGAACATGCTAGAACAGAATGAGAATCTGTAAAGATGTCTTGGCCCTAACATAAAGTAAGGGAAAATAAGATAAAACAACATAAAACCTGCCACCCCTTTCTAATCCCTGACCCTAAACACTACAAGTGCCTCTGTTTCAGTCAATGGAAGCCTTGCCTTCTGTTTATTTTCTTTCTTTACAGGTTGGCACCCTCCCCCCTTCCCTTAGGGATAAAAGGATGGCTTACATCTTTATTTCTCTCTGTTTGAAAAGATAAACACTGGCAACTAGCAAGGACTCTGGGCTTCAGAGAGGATAAAGGAAGCCATCACCAGAGGGGACACTCTTGCCTATCATGGGCGAAAAGATTCAGGTTTTCAGCGCAATGTCTGGGTGACAAAGAGAACCCAGGATATCATCTGTCTGTTTTCACATCTGATGACTCACAGGAGCTCTTTGATGGTGACAGAGGAATGACCACAAACAGGAAAGTCACATGACAACTGCATTTGCGCCAGGGAAGCCTGCATGCTCTTTAACCACTTGGGGGCAGCCTCTTTAACCACGTGAGGGGCAGCCTCACGTGGGGAGTTGCAGCTTGGGCTTGGGCAAGGCTGAAAACAAGGGGAAAGGGGAAGTGCAGGCTGGGGCCGTGGGAGGCTTGGAAACAATGACAGCGATGCACACCTTTTTGGGCCTGCTCCCAAGCAAAGGTAACTGAAGCATAAATCCTGTTTGTTTGCTTCCTTCCATCTCTTCATGATGTGAGAACAGTCTTTTTGATTCTGTGGCCAGTGAATACACAGTGGCCAGGAGCACAGTGCCAAGCTGGGGGTGCTGTCTCCTTGGGATGTGTGTGTATACAATATGGACCTCAGCAAACAATCACATTGGTCAAGGAGGGAGAAACTGCATGCTGCCTTTGTTCCCTTCATGACAGGCACTGGGCTCACATCTCAGCTTGGCCGACAGGGTGGGGCACCCACATCTATTGCACCCACTCCTGGGGCCTGTGCAGAGCCTGGAGGCCCATACAAAGTAGTGATGCCACCACATGAGGCCCACCACTGGCCTGTGCCCTACCAGCTGCCTCCTCAACCTTCAGGCCCAGGAGGAGACCAAGTCCCGTGTGTCTTGGGCACAACCTCCTCCTCACCGTGGCCCACTGGCTGTCCGAGGACTGGGCCAGTGGGCCATCACCTAGTGTCTTGGGGTGGGGCTCCATGGTTTTCTGCCCACTTGGACACTGCCTGATGGAAGATCCCTTTTCCAAAGGCTGCTTTCACACACAGAGGTTCAAGGTTGGCTGAGCTCCTCAAGGAGGCCACCATGTTGGAGAGTTTAAATGCCTTGCTCTTCCACTCTTATCTCCCCACCTGTGGGGAAGAATCCTGAGCAGTTAAATCTTCCTATGAGAGGAAGTGGCAGATCATCCTGTCCTCAGCTGGGATTCTGGCAAGAGGCAGCCATCTGCTACCCTGTGGCACATCTACCTCCTAAGGAGGGTGACAGCCAGTGCAGAGGGAGCCCAGTTCAGCCCAAAGGAAGGAGACTACATGTATGCATCTCTAGCTGGGGTTCCCAGAAAACCTTGGATCAGGGAAGCTCTACACCAAGGTGTCCTCCAAATATTCTAAATTTGCACTGACTTTCTGCTCTATCTGGGGCTCTCATCTCTCACCCTGCTGTCCTCCACTCCCGACTATACTATATGCTCCACAAGGATAGAGATTTTTGTATGTTTTTTTCACGCTGTATGCCCAGGACCAGAATGCGTCTGGTACATAGTATACTCCAAATAATACTTGTTAAAAGAACAATAAAATAGGGGATCTGTTTTTGAGACTCTGATGAAGACTGCTGAAGGAAAGTGTGTGTGTCTATGTGTGTATCTGCATGTGTGTGGGCATGTACTGAAACTGTCTCATATGGCCCCAAAGTCTGCCGGCTGACCTTGAACACAAAAACAAGCACAGAACAAACAGGTACCAGTTTTCCTCATTCAGGAAGTCCATTCAGTACGGAGTTGGGAGGACTGTGCCAGGAGGGGATGGGCACCATGGAGAGGCAAGAAAGGGCAGAAAAGACAGGGCTGCAGGCTGTGGGTATCTAAACAGTGAGGAGAGGAATGAAAAGGAGAAGCAGAGGGTGTACAACAGGGCAAGATGGCAGAGAGAGCTGAGTCCAACCAGGAGAGAGCTGAGCTGCCCTGGAAGAACCTGGATAGACAGAAGCAAGCAGAGAAGGCAGTGAGCCGGGGGAGGAAGGGAAACAACTGAGGCACAAGGCATGCGAAGGGGTGAGAGGTGAGTCAAAGAGGGAAGTAGAAACTGGAGTCAAAAAACTTCTATTAACAGAGTTTCCAACCCAGCTAGTCCAGCCCTTGGGGGGTGAAGGAGCCATCTAAACAGGACACTGTGGGCGGCCTAGACAAAGGTAGCTTTGATAGGGTGGGGGGACTTTCTCTTTGCTCTTTAATCTATCTTTGAAGCCCCTGGGTCCAGGATGACTTCCATGTGCCACCTGCACTGTCCATCTGCTCAGTGGAGTTTGAAGCTATGGGGTGGGGGGGGGGGGCAGGGGACACCTGCCCAATTGTGAGCTAGCCCTGCCAGAGAGAGGATAGACCCCAGGCGAGTGTGTAAGGTTCATGTTGGCACAGCAGCCCAAGGACCAGGACCTGCACTTGCCCACACCTGGCTCAGTGAGTGATGTCCATTATCACCCAACCTCCAGAGCAGGAGTTGGATACACACCCGATTTAAAAAAGAAAGCAATGTTACCAAGTGTGACAAACACTCCATGAACCATATGAACTGCCTGGTAGTGATGTTTGTGATCTTGGGGGACTGGACCTCAAATAATTGAAATTTAATTGTCTTTAGGGAAGGAGCCGATTATCCTTCCCTCAACATTTGAGGATCCCCATGCCATTTAGTGGAACAAAGACTTTGCATTCACTTTTTTTTTTTTTTTAATTTTTTTTTTCAACGTTTATTTATTTTTGGGACAGAGAGAGACAGAGCATGAACGGGCGAGGGGCAGAGAGAGAGGGAGACACAGAACCGGAAACAGGCTCCAGGCTCTGAGCCATCAGCCCAGAGCCCGACGCAGGGCTCGAACTCAACCTTTGCATTCACTTCTTAGCACAAAAGGGGAGTTGAAATGAAAAAAAAAAAAAAAAAAGAAAAATGAAGAAAAATTTTAGATTATGAGCTTCAAGCTATCCTGATTAAGACTTTTAAGTCAGAAAAGTCTTTTTTCAAAATTCCATTTTTATTTTAGAGAAACACAGACATGGGTCCGGTGAAATAATAAAAGCAGGAAAATGAGCAACCTAAGAGGTGAACATGGCTAAACACTGCTGGTCCACTGAGCGGGGGACACCAGTGCCTTCCCCACTGCTGGAATCACGTCCTCTGGCACAGGACACACTGAGAAACAGTGTCACTGCAGTTAGTTTGCAAACATAGACAGACTTGGATTTTATGCCACATCATGCCCCTTCACAGGGCAGGTCTGGATTCTTAACAGTGGGAAGTCAATATTCCTTTCATGGTTTCATGTATTCTACTCAATAAATGCTCAGTGACACAGACACCCCTTGGATGCTAACAATGGGCAGTACAAAGGATGTCATTTCCAGGGATGCCATCACCCCCAAGGGAATGACACACCCTCCCCTTCAAAACACAGCTCTAAACTCTAAATTGTCCCTCACAAACTCTAATGGTATCTTATTT